TAAATAGTAAATTTGGGGCCTGCACTTCATATCTGAGAGTCAAATAGAATCGTCAAATACTGAGTTTACAGCGCACTTTGACAAATGCCCATTTTATTGCTCCTAAGAAGTACATTTGGGGCGTGCTCTTCATATCTGAGAGTCAAATAGAAGCATCAAATACTGCGGTTACAGCGCAATTGTAAACATTCTTATTTTCTGGGTGCTAATCTGCTAAATAGTAAATTTGGGGCCTGCACTTCATATGTGAGAGTCAAATAGAACAGTAAAATATTGTGCTTACATTGCAGTTGTAAAAATTCTAATTGTTTAGGTGCTAACAAATCAATTTGGTGCCTGCACTTCATATCTGAGAGTCAAATAGAACCATCAAATAGTGCTGTTGTTGTAGAATTATTAGGCCTCTATAAATCTGTAAGGCCCCTTTAAATCCTCTTGCTATACCTCTAAGAGGCCCCCATAGTTTTACAAGAAAGCTTTGTCTATAGAACATAGAATTTGCATGCCAGCAAGAAATAGCTTTGATAAAATGTGTATTTACTAAAAGCCTTGAAACCTAACCTTGAGAAACTAACAAGTGCCAGCTACGCTCTAAATGGATAGCTGCCAAAAGGCCCCTCCCGTCGAGTGAGCTCCTCATGTTAGCAAAATGGCGCTAAAACCTGGAGGAGTTAAAAAATGACGAAGATAGTGACTTAAGATAGTACACCCCATAGGGAGGGCATTTTACTAACATCTTAGCACCTAAGCCAATTAACAATGTCTATTTGTCTATATCTTGATTTTCTTCAATGATGTAATAATGCCTTTAAAAGGGTCTGCGCACCCATTTTCTGTCAGAAGCCATTAAACTTCTCTGAAGTTCTTTCATTACCCTGAACTTTGTGTCTCAGTGTGAATTTACTTCTGCGTGCACGCAACTTTATTATCTTTAATTTGGACAGGAACAGATAGTCATTCAAACTAATTGGTTTGCAGTAAATTATCTACTACAAATTGGCGCCCATAACGTGGGGCTCTGGGCTATGTCCTGCCTGGGCAGCTGTCCAAGAAGATGCTGGGGGGGTGAATCCTGGGGGAAGGAAAAGAGCCTGATCACCTCTGAGTACACGGTAGAGATTGCTGCAGCACCTAGCCGGTATGCTCCTGCCCCTGTGATTGACCTATCCCAGTGTCTGTGACTGCTGCCGAGAGGACATCAAAGTCAGGTAATAACTTGCCCAGAGTCTTTGTATTGTTAATGATACCTAGTTTACCTGCATGTTGACTATCTGTTGCCTGGGTGTGTTTGTATTGGTATGTGTTTAACTTAGTACCCGGGGAGTGTAAGTGCCTGTTTAACTCCTTTTAGTTACCACGTGGCTGTGGTAGTAAGGAAAAAGGGGGGTGGACCTGTGGAAGTTTTCCTGGGGGTCCTCTATTGCCTGTTTAACTCTTTTAGGAGCCACGTGGCTGTGGCTGTAAGGAAAAAGAGTAGGGGGAATCTGTGGAGGATGATGTAGACTCATTGCTTCCTGGGGGTTCCCCATAGTGCCACTTTGACCGCTTAGCTAGCCTCATCGGACACTTCTTCTTGGTAAAATTCCAGCCTCGAGCGCTGAGGCAGGTAAAATTCCAATTCTTTAGGCTATACAGGATTCGGGTTGGAAGCTGTTGCTGTTTCCTGTGGCTGCTGGTAGTGAGACTTGCGGGTGGGTCCGCAACAGGGACACTACGAGGTTGAGGGAGGTGGCTTTTGGCCACACGAGTAAAGGCAAGGGATAAAACTGTTGAACTTATTTGAACTGTGATGCATGCACTGTATTTTATTTGAAATGTTGTCTTAATTGTCTGTCACACAGATTCCTGTGTTTACTTCTATCTTACTCACTGTACTATTTACACTTTCCCCTCCTATTTCTCTTTCTCTGTTGAGAGAAGTGATTGGTCACACACTTCTCGCCACGCTCCAATCCGCGGCTACCACGGGTAGGCGGAATCAGTGACTAGTCTACGTTTTGGGAAGACGTACTTAAAGAGCTTGCTCTTAAAGTAGCAGTCGAGCACGGTAGACGTTCTGTTCCTTTCTCTCTCTATATCTGGGACGCCTTGTATAGGGAGGATGGGACAGAAGTTAGATAAACCCAGTAAGGGTTGGTTAGCATGTGATCTAGTGGAAGACAGAGAAGGAGAAGAGATGGTTAAGAAAGTGAGGAAGATTGCTAAAGTATGTGGAATTACCGTACCTCCGTGCGGCAGATTGCAGCCAGAGAGCTGGCGTAAGTTACTGATAGAGAAGAAAGGGGAAGCTGTCGGACCACAATTTGGTTTGTACAGCAGAAGCCTGGTACCGAGTAGCAAGAGCTATTCAGCAAAAGGGATAGGTTGAGGAAGAAATTGATCACAAAGGTTTAAGATTGTTTGTGTATTATAATAATTGTGTTACTGGATGCTGATGGATCCCTATTCTTCCCCCCCCCATCAGTCCTACAGATCTCGTCACCCTCATCCTCTCTCTGCAGCTCCCTGCACCTCCAGTCCGTTTCTCCCGTCAAAGATTTCTGGTTTCCAAACGTATAAGTCTCTGTCCTTCTGTCTTGTTACTTTCCAGCACTCACATGGTTAATCTTCATGCCTGCAGCTTCTCTCCCTTTTTTGCACTGTCTCACATCCCCCCCTTTTCCTCCCCGCTTGCCTCCGAATGGGGGAGGTACATGCCTTCTGCATTTCGGAGCTGCTGATAAGAGTTAGAGACGGGATTTTTGCTGGAAAATATTCTAATTCAAAGGTTATGGTGTTATAATTGTGTAATAATATTATTATTGTTGCCGTTTGCCGTTTATATATATATATATATATATATATTGTGTTTTGTGATAAAGTAGTGAGGATTGTGGGGGAGACACAAGAATGTAGCTCAGTGTTGATTTACGGAGGTAAGTGAATCTGATACAAGAATAGAGGAATATTTGGACGTGTTAAGTGTAAAGGCAAGCGTGATTTGTTGCAAAACTATGCAATGAGGATGATAAGGGAAATTGGTTGAATTCCGTGAGTTTATTTTGCATCATTTTATTATTTTAAAGTAAATGTTTCTAGAAACAGCTGTATGGGCTGTTAAATGCATAATGTTCTCAACTGTCTTATTTAACCTGCCAGGTCTGTTCATAGTTTAGTATTTCATTTTGCAGAACAGAATGTTGCTTCTCTGACTTATTTTAATAGTTATAATATAGTGTATTGTTGAAAGTGCATCAGCCACCACCCTAAAGATGGCGCCTAGTACAGAAGGAGGTTGACCCTGCCAGTCCCGTGACCTATCTACAGTCACGGTTGCTTCTAAAGTGACGTCACTTCCGCCCTTACCATGCCCACACCTCCTGTCTTCCTTTCCCACACATATCATGGACATCACCCCTCTCACTTCCTCCCTTGCTGTCATTTCCTTCCCCGCCCCTGTCATGGCTGCCTCCATCATGAGGCCTACCCCTATTATGCTCGTCCCATTTAGAGACATGTTGTTTTCCTTACACTCTACATATTATGAACAGAAACATTATAATTACTAAAACAATCATGCCATTTGTTTCCCTGTATCAGAAATTTGTCCGTGATAAAAAAAAAAAAAGAAGGTTGCTAAAATGTAATTTGCAACTGTGGTGTGACCTACAAATGAGATCTGTTGGACACGAATATAAGAGCATAACAGCTGATTATCCAGCTTAATCTTGCAACAAGGGAAATAGCTAAATAATGCAAGTTATTTTAAACATTGTATCTTTACTTAATCGAATCTTGCTAGTTACAGATCGTATGTTTACAGTAACATCCTTTACTTTAAATGATGGTTTAGCATTAGAAGGATTAGTGACATGTTTTATTAACCCAGCCACTACTGGTTGTTTATTTTAGTTACAGGGTGGTATAATTGTTATAGTCTAATTAATATAAATGATAGTACCGCAATAGTTAATGTTTTATCCAAAGACATTTAGGAACTTTACTTCACTTACTATTAACCATTATTTATAATGATAGACATGTTCAGACTGCAAAAAGCTATGGCTAATGACATAGAAAGGGGTTTGAGTCAGTAACACAGCCCATACAGAGGAGAGCAAACCCGCTGATGCTTAATGCCCCTGCCATGGCAGTGTCTACAGGGAACAAGGGGGGCCACTAGCCACTGTAACTTTACCTATTGAAGGTCACCCTACTACTTTCCTGGTTAACACAGGTGCAGCCCGCAGTGTTCTTAGAGAACAAGACCTGCCTGACTCATCGTTCCTGCCTGACACCGATGTCTCTTGTGTTGGTGCTGATGTCCTATCCCGCCTCCAAGCATCCATCACCCTCACTGCAGACGGCCAGGTTCAATTAAATACACCTTTGTCACGAAAAGACACTACAGTTCTTTGTTCCCTTCCCATTTTACTGTGGAGATGATCTACCCACAACAGAACAATACTCAATTAATCTTCTTTACTATCTAGCAGAACAAGGATGTGAAGCTTCACGTCTCAAGCTGCAATTCTGCCAACCTACTGTTATCTTCCTTGGCCATTGTCTGTCTCAGGGAACCAGACATCTCACTCTGACCGAGTTAGAGCAGTACTGGACATTCCACCTCCAAGGACCTCAAAGTCACTACACGCCTTCCTAGGCCTCATTTCCTATTGCCGAGCATGGATCCCAGAAGCCTCACTCCTTATGCAACCTCTCTATGATGCTCTCAAGTCAGACCCATTTTGCTTGTCCACAGAAGCCCTTGACAACTTCTGTACTCTTAAACATGCTATTGCTTCTGCTCCTGCTCTTGGCCTACCAGACTATACCAAACCCTTCAAATTGTTTGTTTCTGAAAGACAAGGCCATGCAACAGGAGTACTCACTCAGGCCCATGGTCCTGGAGGCCGCCAAAGGCCTATTGGATTTTTCTCCTGCCAACTGGATATTGTGGCCAGAGGACGTCCCACTTGCCTTCGGGCCGTCTGTGCTGCCAAAGAGCTCATTGAAAGAACTGGAGATCTTGTCCTTGGCCACCCCCTGGTTGTCTTGGCCCCTCATGACATTTCTGCCATAGTCAACCAGGTCCAACTTAAGCATGTTACTCCTGCTAGGCATCTTCACCTTCAATGTCATCTTTTGTTGCCTGACCACATTACCCTTCAAAGATGTCAAATTCTCAATCCGTCCACTCTTCTGCCACTCCCTGAGGGGGATGTATACTACGGATTCATCATGGACGAAACTTATGTTTTTCTTCTCACTGGCACCATCAAGAAGGAAATGCATCCCAACCTATCCTTTCATGATGGACAAGCACTCCTTCATGACGGAGCAGGATATGCCTTCTGTACCATGTGGTACAAACCAAACATCACTCCTGAACCCTGCTATGAAGATGAACTCTATCATTTGGTCGAAGTAAAACTCACTGCACAAGACTTCTACTGTGATTCTGAAGGCAACAGTATGGTCTTGATTCATCTACCTCCGGAACTCAAGTATTTGTACCGTCATTGGGACACTGCCATTCCACATGTCCCTGTGACCAAGTTGAAAACAATATCATGGAATGATCTTGGGCCTATGGCAAAAGCATGGGCCACTATGGACGAATCACAGCTACAGGAAAATGGTGTTGTCAAATATCCAACAACTGACCACCTAAAAGCATGGCCACGTCATTTCCTGGAAAATGAGTTCCAAGATTTAACCATAGTAAATGACTACGACCCAAATACACCTCATGACTGTTTTGAACAGATGAAAATGGAAACAACACATCTACCAACTGTGCATGAAGACCCATTGGTAGATCCCGATCTCACCCTGTTTGTGGACGGCTCAAGATATGCTGATGAAGAAGGAAGATACCATACAGGATATGCCGTAACCACAACAGATGAAATTGTCAAATCATCATCTTTACCATCAACTATGTCTGCACAAGAAGCTGAATTGCAAGCCCTGACTTCAGCATGCAAGATCTCTGAAGGAAAGCGCGCCAATATCTACACGGATTCAAGATATGCACTGGGCGTGGCTCACGACTTCGGATTAATTTGGAAAACAAGAGGATTTCTTACTACCGCCGGTACACCAATCAAGCACGGTTCCGCAATCAAGGAGCTGATGGACGCCCTCCTACTCCCAGAAGAAGTGGCTATTTTGAAGATAAAAGCACATGGGAAGTTGGACTCAGATGAAGCAAAGGGCCACCATCTAGCTGATCAAGCTGCAAAACAAGCTGCAAGAGAACCACAGGAAGTGGAAAGAAGAGTGTCCGGAAATGAAGAAACTCCCATATTTACTCTGCAGACTCTTCCAACTGACCTGAAAATCCTGCGGGAACAACAGGCTACAGTTGCCCCTGAAGAAATACAGAAGTGGAAACAGAAAGGGGCAGTTCTAAGAGATGGAGTGTATTACAACAATCTCAGATTCTGCCTTCCTAAGAATCTATACCCAGCAGTTGTTCAGTGGGCACATGGCCCTGCACACTTATCAAAAGATTTGATGATTGCCCTTGTACAGAAGTACTATGAGGCCCCTGGAATTACCACGCTAGCCAGCAATTACTGCAAGACGTGTGTCATCTGCGCCAAGTGCAATCCGGGGAAAATGGCTAAAGTCCCTCCAAAACACTTGGCCAAGCCCATGTACCCGTTTCAAAGAATTCAGATAGACCACATCCAGATGCCAAAGAGTGGCAACTTCGAATATGCACTAGTAATAGTGGACATGTTCTCAGGCTGGCCAGAAGCCTACCCAGTGGTTAACATCACCGCAAAAACAACAACTGGCCCCATCATGTACCCATGTGGCTACATTCACTTTTGATTACTGTGATATTGTAGAATGCCCATTCCCTAAGTCACAGATTCAAGCCATTTATAAAGATATACCACAAGCAAAAGACCCTTACGTTTGTGTAGTAGATGAACAATGGGGTTATGACTGTAACTACTGGGGGGCTGCGGGATGGAATACTGGGCCTGCCTGGGGTTATAAACCCAAAAGTGCTTTATCTAAGATAGACAATCAGGGTAGATCCCTCCTTCAAAGAATGACTTTAAGAAAGCCTGGAGGAAGTACCCCTATGAAATTAATGTTAAATATTGAACATCCTGGCCCCGAGGATGCAGACCGATATGTAATGGGAATGTATTGGAAGAAAGGTTCCTACAACAAATTAGGTCATTTCTACCTTAGAGATATGTACCACTCTCCAGAGTGGCAAGGGGCTGATCATATGGTCCCAAATCCGCTAAAACCACATATCCAGTCCTTTAAAGATATGATGGCCATCGCTAACCCCACTTTTGAAGATACCATGGCCGCTGAAACTGGATTCAACGACATTCATTTGTGGTTAGAATGGATGAGGTATAATGCCAACAAACATAATAAAACAGCATGTTATGTATGTGGCGGTGCCCGACCCCACCTTGGCACCGTCCCCCTAATTCTCCCTTTAGAGATAGAAGATTGCTTCTTAAGCCTTTTTGCCTACCAATATGACTTTAATAGGTCCCTCTGCATGGCATGGACGGCAGAGTACCCTCTCTTCGTTGAAAATGTTAAGCCACCTGATGGAATCACAGTCTATAGAGGTAATTACACTTGTTATGCCATGTATGACGGGATTGGTAAATTCATGGGTAATTTTTCTAAAGGTTATTGCGCCACTTACAGAACTGTTCCTATATGCCTGTTGCAACACCATACCAGGTCATTGGGGGATATTTACTGGTTATGTGGGGATCTACAGTTAAGATCTAGGCTGGAAACTGAGTGGTGGGGTGAGTGTACCCTAGCCAAAGTTATCATGCCCATTCATATTATTTCTGATAATCATCATGACACATACATCAGCCAGATTAAGGCGCGAAACCCCAGTAAAAGGCAGTTTTGACCCCCACATTTACATAGATGCCATTGGGGTACCTAGGGGGGTACCTAATGAATTTAAAGCTAGAGATGAAGTAGCTGCAGGTTTTGAATCACTTTTTACCATAGTCACTGCCAACAAAAACCTTAATTGGATTAACTACATTTATTACAACCAACAGCGTTTTGTCAACTACACCAGGGATGCCCTCCAGGGCCTGGCCGAGCAGTTGCAGGCCACATCCCAGATGACCTTCCAGAACAGAATGGCCTTAGACATGATTCTAGCTGAAAAGGGGGTGTATGTAAAATACTACCTGACACCATGACTTGTTGCACTTATATCCCAGAAAACACAGGTCCTAATGGTAAAGTCACTCTGGCCATAGCTAAATTAAATAGACTCTCAGAAGAGTTAAAGAGAAACTCTGGAGTTACTGATCCCTGGGAAAAATGGTTTGGTTGGATGACTGGTTGGCAGAGAGCTTTAGTCCAGATTGGTATTGCCTTACTAATTTTTCTTTTTATTCTCGCTCTTCTCATTTGTTGTCCTCCCATGCCTAAGGAAATTCCTGCAGAAAACTGTAGACCAAGCAACACCAACCTTCACTCATCTGACAATCGATGATCAAGATCTCATCTCACCCTGTATTCCTCTACAAACTCTCCCGTATACTGATGAAGTGCAGAAAGTCTAGGAAGGGACAGTACAGGGACAGCGTCCGTCTTTATGGGTAGACTGCCGTACGGAGAAGTAGTGGATAAGCCACTATGGGTTACCAGCGGAGTGAAGAGTGTTCCTGAACCGTACTGACGGATGTGCTGCAGCCTGTTAGGGTCAAGAGAGGGATAGACTTGCACTTTGCATTAACACTAAGTCAGCGGTCATGGGGTTTCTGTGTCTTTGGGCTAACACATATTCTGATACTAACAAATAAAGTTTTGTCTTTTAGCAAATAACATTTTAGGGGGGACTGTTGTAGAATTATTAGGCCTCTATAAATCTGTAAGGCCCCTTTAAATCCTCTTGCTATACCTCTAAGAGGCCCCCATAGTTTTACAAGAAAGCTTTGTCTATAGAACATAGAATTTGCATGCCAGCAAGAAATAGCTTTGATAAAATGTGTATTTACTAAAAGCCTTGAAACCTAACCTTGAGAAACTAACAAGTGCCAGCTACGCTCTAAATGGATAGCTGCCAAAAGGCCCCTCCCGTCGAGTGAGCTCCTCATGTTAGCAAAATGGCGCTAAAACCTGGAGGAGTTAAAAAATGACGAAGATAGTGACTTAAGATAGTACACCCCATAGGGAGGGCATTTTACTAACATCTTAGCACCTAAGCCAATTAACAATGTCTATTTGTCTATATCTTGATTTTCTTCAATGATGTAATAATGCCTTTAAAAGGGTCTGCGCACCCATTTTCTGTCAGAAGCCATTAAACTTCTCCGAAGTTCTTTCATTACCCTGAACTTTGTGTCTCAGTGTGAATTTACTTCTGCGTGCACGCAACTTTATTATCTTTAATTTGGACAGGAACAGATAGTCATTCAAACTAATTGGTTTGCAGTAAATTATCTACTACACTGTGACATAGCAGTTTTAAACATTCAAATTGTTTTGGTGCTAAATACTACATTTGGTGTGTGCACTTCATATCTGAGAGTCAAATAGAACTGTCAAATACTGTGTTTACATCGCACTTTTAAAAATAGTACATTTGCGGCCTGCAGTGCATTTCTTGCAGTCCAATAAACTAAAAAAATTTAAATTGTTGACTATTGGCGGTTACATTGTCGCCTGACATATAACATCTGTTAGTTTGGTGGGTGAACGCAAAAAATGCGGAGAGTTTCAAATAAGTGTCGTGGCCCTGGTTGTGGTGCTGCTGGTGTTGGTGGAGCTCCTGTTGCAAGGAGAGAACGTGGTCGATTTTGCTAGCTACACGCACAAGTGAAACACCTTCCTCAGGTGCGAGTACGCGACAGAACCTTCAGCGTTATATGGTAGGCCCAAATGCTGCTCTACGAATGGTAAGGCCAGAACAAGTACAGGCGATAGTAGATTGGATGGATGGCTGACAATGCCTCCAGTTCCTGCACATTGTCTCCCACCCGGTCCCCTGCTGAAAGCTCAGAGTTGGCACCTGCAGCCCATGGCCATCTGTCTTTCACCTCACCCCCTTGCAAATCAGCCAAGCAATCTGAGCCACAAGTCATGCAACAGTCTCTTTTGCTTTTTGATGACTCTGCTGGCGTGGTTTCCGTGGGCCATCCACCTAGCCCCAGAAGTGCAAGAGGTTGAGTGCACTGATGCCAACCACTTATGTGTTAGGGTGTGGACATGTGAGGACCACCGCAGCACATCTCTGATGATGACGAAATACAGGTGCCAACTACTGTGGCACACTGCAGAAAGCCACAGTAGTTGGCACCTGTATTTCGTCATCATCAGAGATGTGCTGCGGTGGTCCTCACATGTCCACACCCTAACACATAAGTGGTTGTGCATCAGTGCACTCAACCTCTTGCACTTCTGGGGCTAGGTGGATGGCCCACGGAAACCACGCCAGCAGAGTCATCAAAAAGCAAAAGAGACTGTTGCATGACTTGTGGCTCGGATTGCTTGGCTGATTTGCAAGGGTTGAGGAGTGGGTGGAAGATGATGTGGAGGATGTGATGACGTGTACAGTTTGGAGAAAGAGGCGGTGGTCGCACAGAGGC